AAAATCATTCTTTTTGTCGAGATGTACGTCTTTACCAAGACCCTTAAAATCATTCTTTTTGTCGAGATGTACGTCTTTACCAAGACCCTTAAAATCATTCTTTTTGTCGAGATGTACGTCTTTACCAAGACCCTTAAAATCATTCTTTTTGTCGAGATGTACGTCTTTATTAAGACCCTTAAAATCATTCTTTTTGTCGAGATGTACGTCTTTATTAAGACCCTTAAAATTATTCTTTTTGTCGAGATGTACGTCTCTATTAAGGTCCCTTAAAATCATTCTTTTTGTCGAGATGTACGTCTCTATTAAGGTCCTTTAAAATCATTCTTTTTGTCGAGATGTACGTCTTTACCAAGACCCTTAAAACCAATCTTTTTGTCGTGATGTACGTCGTTACCAAGACCCTTAAAATCAATTTTTTTGTCGAGATGTACGTCTTTATTAAGACCCTTTAAACTCATTCTTTTTGTCGAGATGTACGTCTCTACCAAGGCCCTTTAAATTCATTCTTTTTGACGTGATGTACGTCTTTATTAAGACCCTTTAAACTCATTCTTTTTGTCGAGATGTACGTCTTTATTAAGACCCTTAAAATCATTCTTTTTGTCGAGATGTACGTCTTTATTAAGACCCTTAAAATTATTCTTTTTGTCGAGATGTACGTCTTTATTAAGGTCCTTTAAAATCATTCTTTTTGTCGAGATGTATGTAACAACGCAGATTTAAAGACAAAAAATTCTAACGTGCAATATGATCATACAATAAACTTTATTAAGCGTTTGAAGATAAGCAGAGAATTCTTTCTCTAGATATGTTGGGGTTATGATAGTTTGGAGAAGAAATGACTTTTTAAAAACCGTATCTGAGAGTAAACATCTCCTTTGTGGATATAAAAAAATAACACATTGTACACCTAGATCAGTAGATATATGATATACAATTGATATTACTCACTTATATCACATCATCAGCTCCTTGATAGCTATTTAATCTCTTTGAAATAATTACTTTAAGAGAACTCGGAACACGTTTTTGAATAACGAATGAGTCGCACGTGAAACTCTTGTTGTTGTTAACAGCTTATAAATTTTTAAAGCACCATCTGGTGTTAACAAAGTTAGTTATATAGCATGATAATGCCTATGTGATTTCATTAACGAAACAAGTACTACTGTTTCAGGTTGTCAATATAATCAGTGGTTACTAGGTGAAGGAAGCTGTTGCTAAGCGCAACCGCACTGGGAGACTATCATTCCTCTTAGTTTCTTCGTATCTACTTCACTCTTATTCTTTAAATACACAACTTGTAGAGGTTTCATCTTCTTCGGGGTACAGCAAGAACGAGGTATTTCTTTCCTTCTATCCTTTATTCTTCGTATAAGGTTTTGGATCCTGGCGTGTCTGCTAACGTAATTTTTATAATTTGGATCACACCTTCCCTTGCAGAAATAAGCTTCAAACTGCTTTGGCCTAATGATCCAGTGCCACTTCAGCTCTTCAAAAGAAATTGTCATTGAATACCGACAACAAAGAGTGGTTATATTTCCATTAGTACAGTCCAGTGGGTAATGGGTCTTCTTCTTCTTTTTATGCTTAGATCGTTTAGATCTCACATAAGATTCTGTTAGCTCGATATCCAGAGATGCTCTCCCGGGGGTTTGATAGGACATCTTTTCCACTATTGTTTCATTATTTATTGAATTTGTAGCTAAAATGTCTGAGCTATTTACGGACAGAAAAACATAGTCGTGGGTTTCACATTCATTGCATTCAATAAGTAGCCCGTAGTTTATCGCAGGGAATTCTACCCAAGATTCTACAGCTTTGGAAACGTCAAATATCTCCCACCTGTCGGAGCTCAGTAGAACTCGTTGAGCAGAGACTAACAACCGGTTGGGATTATGCAAGTGAACATGAGGATTCTCTACGTAAGCAGGATCGTGGCGATACTGGGGAATCTTCACCCGAATAGGTTCATAGAATCTCTTGAAATTCTCCACGTGAACGGGTTCCCGAAGTCGATGAGGATTCTCTACATGAACAGGTTCGCGGAGTCCGTGTAGATTCTCTACGCGAAGAGATTCCTGGAGTTCATGGGGATTTTGGAGATTCTTCACATGGATAGGTTCTTGGAGCTGGTAGATATATACAGTGGCTTGTTTTGGCTGCTCACTCACAGACACTGCGTCAGTGCGCCCTCCACGGCCATCTACCTGGTGATGAACACCTCTACGAACCATGTAGATACTCAGCGTAGCAGAATTAACAGTTAGGCCTCTTGTACTGTTTCTCTTGTGATTAGGAAAATCCAAACGAAAAAATAAGATTTGTCGTCTTCCTCTTCTAAACAAATCATTTCTGAACTGGTGCTGTAGAGGCACTGAAAATAAAAATTACGAAAAGTAATAACTAAGTGTAGTGAATTGTTTTTGTATTACAGAATATAATTAATGTAATTTTTGTATTAAGATGACAAATTTGAGATTAACCGAGAAAGTAAAGAGCCAGATACAATTCCTATACTAAAGCAGTCTATAAAATTGGCTATCTGCGTTATGCCCACTATGGGTATCGAAACTTGGTTTTTGGTCTTATAAGTCCGGATACTTACCGCTGTGCCACTGGGAAGCAACAAAATAAAGATTAAACTAGATGTGGATTTGTTTTAGCTTTCGTATGATAAAATAAAAAGTTATTTTAATGACCTTTTTTCAAGATAAAGTCGTCAAACAGTTTTGAAAACTAGACATTTCGTTAGGCTTATAAAAGATCTTATTCGTCAAATACTGGCTAACGAAATAGTTTAATATAAGCTGGACCAAAAGCGTGATTTCTTGTCCTATACAACGCAGGAATATTCAACAAAGGGTGTGTAAATTTGTCTTGTCCAATATCAGAGCTTCTCCAAAACACTTTCTCATACGTTTGAGCTATAACTGGGATACTTTTAAACACGTTTGTACTGAGTACAATCATTGAATTGGGTTGATTTTTTTTTATCCTAAGCAGAAAATACAAGATCACACATTTCTAAACAAATTCGAAAATATATGATTTTTTTATTATTTCTGAATAATATTCAGAAAATATTTTTACAAAAAACTGAATTGTCTTTCAGACTACTACAGTGACAACAGAGACGCGTTGTGTCAAGTAAACAACAAAGAAACCGTCTTAACAAAGTACCAGAGACTGCTCTTATAAATTGTATGAACTAAAGACTGGATCTCTTGAATAACGACATTGTAGAAAGTAATATAGCGATGTATGAATAAAGTAGTTTAGAAATAAGGAAATAAAAATTTCTACTATCTGAACAAAACGTAATACAAATTAAAAAGATTTATCTCTTATATCCTCACACGCAAAGAAACTCAGAATACAACTTTCACGATGCAATTTCGTATTTACTGAAAAAAGTCTGCATGTCTGTTAGGTACGTGAGATAATACAAAAGATAACAAGAACGTAACTGTTGGTTAGTCCCATTCTACCACTTCTTTAGGTACAAATTAACCAATAAATGGCGACATCTACATAAATTATGTTAGAAAAAATATATAAATATTCTATAACCGGATGTTCTTCTAATTCCTGAAAAAAAAACAAAAAAAAAAAACGAAATCTTAGAACACGACCTTTTTGTCAAATAAATAAATCATTCTATGTACTATTTAAAACACGTAAGATAGTTTGACAATAATAAAAATTACGTGTTTCTCCACGAGAATTGTCAACGCTTAGAAAGAGACGTGGCAATCACGAGAGAGAAAAAAACTAGGCCTTTAATTTTTAATTTGTTTCCCCTCAACATTTGAAATACTTGTGAATTTATTCTGTAGCCTTTATACATTATTACTGGTTTTAAGATGATTATAAAATTGACTTTTTCTTTATAAGTATCTCTTGCTATTTAAATATTTTCTTACGCTAAGCCTATACACTTCTATGAAAGTTATTTAAATATTTTCTGACGCTAAGCCTATATACTTCTATGAAAGTTATTTAAATATTTTCTGACGCTAAGCCTATACACTTCTATGAAAGTTATTTAAATATTTTCTGACGCTAAGCCTATACACTTCTATGAAAGTTATTTAAATATTTTCTGACGCTAAGCATATACACTTCTATGAAAGTTATTTTTTTACCATTCCCTGCAGAAAGCCGGAGTCTGTTCTGTATAATCATAATTTAAATAGATTTATTATGTGCTTATAATATAATTATATGCTTATAATATAATATCTCTACATAGTTAAGGTCAAAAGAATTGTTTAAATGACTACAAACAGGACATTTTTATTATTTGAAGGAAAAAAATTCAAAAAAAAAAACCCAAACAAATGTAAAGTTATAGGTTTCCACCAATGAAAGAAACACGAAGTCTGTTTTTGGATTCGACAATATGTATTGTGACTTCCAGGAGGAAAGTCATAGAGCTTTCTATTTAAACCATACAGGAAGGGTTAATATCGCTCACCTAAAGCACCCATACACCAAAATGTGAAACAAAGTATAACACCCATCCACCAAAAATCATGTTTCACGGGTCTACTGACACTATCTATATATATGAATGTTTATAGAGTCTAATGATACTTCATATATGGATGTTTCACGGGTCTACTGATACTATATAGATGTATGTTTCTCGGGTCTACTGATACTACATACATGTATGTCTCATGGGTCCACTGATACTATATACATGTATGTTTCACGGGTCTACTGATACTATATAGATGTATGTTTCTCTGGTCTACTGATACTATATACATGTATGTTTCATGGGTCTACTGATACTATATACATGTATGTTTCACGGGTCTACTGATACTATATACTTGTATGTTTCATGGGTCTACTGATAGTTCATAGATGCATGTTTCACGGGTCTACTGATACTTCATACATGCATGTTTCTCTGGTCTACTGACACGATATACATGTATGTTTCACGGGTCTACTGATAGTTCATACATGTTTCTCTGGTCTACTGATAGTTTATACATGTTTCTCTGGTCTACTGATACTATATACATGCATGTTTCTCTGGTCTACTGATACTATATACATGCATGTTTTTCGGGTCTACTGATACAATATACATGGATGTTTCTCGGGTCTACTGATACTATATACGTGTATGTTTCACGGGTCTACTGATACTATATACATGTATGTTTCATGGGTCTACTGATACTTCATACATAGATGTTTCTCGGGTCTACTGATACTATATACATGCATGTTTCTCGGGTCTACTGATACTATATACATGTATGTTTCACGGGTCTACTGATACTATATACATGTATGTTTCACGGGTCTACTGATACTATATACTTGTATGTTTCATGGGTCTACTGATAGTTCATAGATGCATGTTTCACGGGTCTACTAATACTATATATATGAATGTTTCTCGGGTCTATTGATACAATATACGTGTATGTTTCACGAGTCTACTGATACTATATACATGTATGTTTCTCGGGTCTACTGATACTATATACATGTATGTTTCTCGGGTCTACTGATACTATATACATGTATGTTTCACTGGTCTACCGATACTACATACATGTATGTTTCACGGGTCTACTGATACTACATACATGTATGTTTCACGGGTCTACTGATACTATATACATGTATGTTTCACGGGTTTACTGATACTATATTCATGCATGTTTCACGGGTCTACTGATACTATATACATGTATGTTTCACGGGTCTAGGGATACTATATACATGTATGTTTCACGGGTCTACTGATACTATATACATGTATGTTTCACGGGTTTACTGATAATATTTTCATTGTTTCTCGGGTTTACTGATTTTTTTGTGTTTTTGAATCAGTTTGGATATCTTATTTATCCATGAGATCATCATATTTATGTTGTTAGTAAAAGAAAGTCTTACCTTCGTCTCTGTAAGTGTAAAACCTGCGTACAGTTTTATTCCTTTCCTGGGTTGCCCCGAGGTTTCTCGTGTTCCGACGATAGATTTCCAACACTCTGTCCATTTCAATCTGGGAGACATTAACCTCGGAGAGATCTGGTTCTCTGTCTAGTCCTAGCTGTGATAGAATGTTTTCTTTAACAATCTTTATGTCTGTTTCACCAGTTTGATCTTCGTTACGTACTTCTTCGGAACTAAGACTATTGGTTGCTAGGGGCAATAACTGAGTTGTCTTCACGCAGAAAGTCACGTAACACCATAGGAACAGAGTCCGACTCCCTCGGAGACATCCGTTAAACATGTGAATCATGGGGAGTGAAATAGACAAACTCTTGGTGCTGATGAAGATTCCACCAGTCTAAGTGCTCCTAAAGACTGTTGCTAAGGTTACCGGACTCCTCAGTTTATTATTCTCAAGTATCGGGTGGGCATCACCTACCCACGAATCGGACGAATAAGAAACGCTAGCCGTACTGTTTAGTTTCACGGGATTTTCCAGTTCAGGCCACGTGCCCGACTCGAGGCTGACGTAGTCGAATACACGTGCTTGAAATATCGTCCCTAATCTTAATATTAAAATATAGAGAGAGTTATTACTTTTTGGAAAACAGAGTGTCTGCATCCAACTGCCTGCTTCAACACCAAAAAAAAACCCTATAAACACGAATTTTAATTCTCTGCATGTCTTTTACTTTAAGTAAAGACATATTAAACAATTCAATTAATTATAACATAATTACTTAATTAGACTGATTTATCTACTAACAAGCAATTGACAGGTCAAAACCGAAAGAAAAAGATAAATTATCTTATATGTAAATCCGTTTTTGTTTTTTTGTCTTCTGAACGCACGAGATCAAGGATTAATCAGAAATTCTGACAGCAGTAGTGCTGGTGAATATGTAACTAGTATAAGTAATCTTGATGGAACACGGGCGAGAGAAATCAGGTTAGCAGTAGTGCTGGTGAATATGTAACTAGTATAAGTGATCTTGATGGAACACGGGCGAGAGAAATCAGGTTAGCAGTAGTGCTGGTGAATATGTAACTAGTATAAGTAATCTTGATGGAACACGGGCGAGAGAAATCAGGTTCCAGGATGGACTAAACTCCTTATTAATGGACTGTCTAGAAATGATTGTTTATAATAAATGTAGTTCTAAATCTTAATATCTTGAAATCTTTATATCGAACCCAAGCACTACGTAAAAACCTCAAGTTAGAGAGAGACTCAGAAATGATGGGATATAGTGTATGAACGATCTTCAGGTGCATGTGATAATTTAGTTAACAACTCTTCAGGTGCATGTGATAATTTAGTTAACAACTCTTCAGGTGCTTGTGATAATTTAGTTAATAACTCTTCAGGTGCTTGTGATAATTTAGTTAATAACTCTTCAGGTGCATGTGATAATTTAGTTAATAGATCTTCAGGTGCATGTGATAATTTAGTTAATAACTCTTCAGGTGCTTGTGATAATTTAGTTAATAGATCTTCAGGTGCTTGTGATAATTTAGTTAATAACTCTTCAGGTGCATGTGATAATTTAGTTAATAACTCTTCAGGTGCATGTGATAATTTAGTTAATAACTCTTCAGGTGCATGTGATAATTTAGTTAATTTTGTCCAATTGAGTGGTCAGAGAATGCCTGCAGAATTATATCTAGTCAGAAGTTGATTGTATAGTCATATTGGCTGGTCAGAGACTGTCTGTATAGTATTATTGTTTGGTCAGAGACTGACTGGATAGTCCTATTAGCTGGTCAGAGTCTGATAGGACAATACAGTCCGTCTATGACCAACCACTCAAACTATACTATTTACTGGTCAGAGTCTGACAGTATAGTCTTAGTGTTTGCTCGAGTAATAGCTATATAGTCTTCTTTGTTGGTAGTTCTGTTGGCTGATTGGTAGATTGACTACGTAGTTTGTTCTATTGGTTAATGGAAGATTTACTGTATAATTCTATTGGATAACGATGAACACTGGAGAAAACTAGGTGAAACATTGTAGACAAAATAAGGATCACGTTTTGTTCTGTTCTTGGTACTGAATTAGGAACAGTTCCATGAAATACATACTTGTTGGCATTTTTTACACCAGCTTTACAGGCTCGTTAGCGTTTACAAGATAAAAACTTAGAAACACAAATAACTCATAGCAACATATGTCTCCATGCAACTGTCTAAGAGGGAATATATGTTCTGTTTTGGAATACGTACGTATATGATATACTTTTATATCTATATGTATATATACATACGAAGTCATGGCTTTGCAGCTTCGGAGTTAACTTACAGCAAGACTCACTACTTCAGTTACTCACCACGATGGTTAGTCAGTACTGGTTCCCCAAGTCAGTTACTCACTACGACGTTTAGTCAGTACTGGTTCCCAAGTCCGTTACTCACCACGACGGTTAGTCAGTACTAATTCCCAAGTCAGTTACTCACCACGACGGTTAGTCAGTACTGGTTCCCAAGTCACTTACTCACCACGACGGTTAGTCAGTACTGGTTCCCAAGTCACTTACTCACCACGACGGTTAGTCAGTACTGGTTCCCAAGTCAGTTACTCACCACGATGGTTAGTCAGTACTGGTTCCCCAAGTCAGTTACTCACCACGACGGTTAGTCAGTACTCGTTCCCAAGTCAATTACTCCCCACGACGGTTAGTCAGTACTGGTTCCCAAGTCAGTTACTCACCACGACGGTTAGTCAATACTGGTTTCCCAAGTCAGTTACACACCACGACGTTTAGTCAGTACTGGTTCCGAAGTCAGTTACTCACCACGACGTTTAGGCAGTACTGGTTCCCAAGTCCGTTATTCACCACGACGTTTAGTCAGTACTGGTTCCTAAGTCAGTTACTCACCATGACGGTTAGTCAGTACTGGTTCCCAAGTCAGTTACTCACCATGACGTTTAGTCAGTTACTCACCACGACGTTTAGTCAGTACTGGTTCCCAAGTCAGTTACTCACCACGACGGTTAGTCAGTACTGGTTCCCAAGTCAGTTACTCACCACGACGTTTAGTCAGTACTGGTTCCCCAAGTCAGTTACTCACCACGACGGTGAGTCAGTACTGGTTCCCAAGTCACTTACTCACCATGACGTTTAGTCAGTGATGATTCACTGTTTGTTGTTTTGGAAGATTCTGTATAACTTTGTCTTGACTTAGTAATGAAAGCTACGTTTCTCACGCCAGCGAAAAGTTTGGTTTCTTTGATTCTGAAGAGGCAAGTCTGTATGTTAACAAGCAATCAGGTGTAGTCACAATTCTTTAAGTTTTAGTAGTTATACGCCTATGATATCTTAGTTACGATTGTTGTAAACTTCTCCAGCGGCGTGCTGCGTTACCAATAAGGACAGACAAACGGATTTCTAGATACGCTGCTGTTATAATTCATCACCAGTCAGTTATTATTTTCTACATTGGAACGGGCGTTAACGTGCACGGACTGTGAATTCAAGGATTCACGACTTGCAATCAGATGCTACGAAATGAACTTTGATTACGGAACCATGGGTGAGTTATAAGAGTGACAATCGAATTCTACTATTCGTTGAGACAAGGGTAATCCAAGAGTTGGCGGCGGATGGTGTTGAGTTGCTGCCTTTCGTCTCGTGCGTAGATAGTCCTCGTGTAGTTTTGAAACCGAATCTTTAGTATTGGTATTGACTTTTCAATTTATCGTGACGTTTAAAATTGTTCGTAAATTAATATCTCATTATTTTCTTAGTTGAAGGAGAAAACCAAAAAAAAAAAAAATTCTTGACTCGACGAGAAACGTTGTTGATATTGATGTTCGTATTACACAATAACTGGGTCATTACCTATCAGCTGTTATGTCCAAACTTTACAGAAAAGTTGTTACAGTAAAAACGTTTTGAAATTTTGTAAAGGTGTTTTATTTGAACTGTGTATCTTGTAACTCTCTTACGTTGACCTATATATAAAGGCCGAAGAAAGAGATTTAAGCTGGGAATCCCCTTCCTCGAATAAAGAATACACCATAATTATTGTCATGGCTGCTTACTAACAGAGACACGCTCGAGCGGACCTTCTCTTATATATATATATATACTAAAGTTCAATACGTTGTAGTAAAACGACTTTGAGAATGCTAATTAGTAACTCACGTGACAATCACACCGATATAAAGTCATTGTTGAACAGAAGGTATCAGAACTACAGTTTCTCATTGTTTAATAGATTATCTAAGATGTGTTGACTGATGCGAACAACTTGTCACGAGTCAAACTGACACATCTTATATGAACACTAACGACTCCGTCCCATTTCTTTTAAAAACCACAGAATTCTTTGTGGCTGTATATAACGATGTTACCATATACATCCTATTATCTGAGCAGGATTGATTTTTTACTATATAATAGGAAATAACCTGAATACAGAATCAACACAGATATGGAACTTGTTAGGATCCAGATGTGGAAATAACCTGAATACAGAATCAATACAGATATGGAACTTGCTAGGATCCAGATGTGGAAATAACCTGAATACAGAATCAACACAGATATGGAACTTGCTAGGATCCAGATGTGGAAATAACCTGAATACAGAATCAAAAAATAACCTGAATACAGAATCAACACAGATATGGAACTTGTTAGGATCCAGATGTGGAAATAACCTGAATACAGAATCAACACAGATATGGAACTTGCTAGGATCCAGATGAGGAAATAACCTGAATACAGACTCAACATAGATGTGAATTTGCTAGGATCCAGATGTGGAAATAACCTGAATACAGAATCAACACAGATATGGAACTTGCTAGGATCCAGATGTGGAAATAACCTGAATACAGAATCAACACAGATATGGAACTTGCTAGATCCAGATGTGGAAATAACCTTGATACAGAATC